GACTTACTCAATCCGCAGATGCCAACAGAGGAAAGTAGTAAATCAATAATTCGAGGATTTTTGCACAACATAATCCCTTTGGGATTAAATGACATTAGCAGTATTGTATTCAGAGAGAAGTCAATCTCATTAGGCAGCCCAGATGCAAGCGCAAATTCCAAACCAGAATAACATGTCCGAGCTGGATTGGTCTTTGCATTTGGTTCATGAAGCTCCTTCGGATGAAGTACACAGGATGCCTTAGTTAAAGAAGCAGCCGGAACTTTGGTAGGGGTTCGATTCTGAATAAGAGGATCTAGGCTCTCCATTTCAAAGAGAGATGCATCATTAGAGCCATCTCCGTAGCTAGAGTAAGTCCCTTCAGATATCCTCTGCATCCGCTCATATTGCTCCAAATGCCGTTGATAAATTATACGAATTCCATAGCCAGAGTTTACGCATGCTAAAGGAAGATTAAGAGAAGCAGCAACCTCAGGCCATTGATGACCCAATGTAACCCGCTTATAACCTCCTCTCAGTGCGACTTGGTTATAAAGATTGAGCAGATCAATTGGTTGTCCATTTAGCTGAGGTAGACAGTTGACTTGGAGTTGTCTAAAGAATAGATTGCTTAATTAAGGCTTACTTGTTGTTGCGTGAGGACTTGCGCAGATCTGAGATAAACTGGCTCTTTGACTTTATAACTAGAGGCACAATAGGCACAGGAGCAGAACAAGGCTTCAGCTTAGATTTAGAAAGCATGACAGAGCTGATGAGTTATTCTGATTCGGAATTACATCTGGAAAAATGAAAGAAGACTCCTTTATCCAGTGCTATAAGCCAAGATTGCGGCCTATCCCGTTTGAAAAGTATTGATGCAAGGAGAGTAGTGCAAACAGACGCTGCACGGATTGACAGCGAACCAAAACTGACGGGTCGATAGGCTAGTAAAGCAAGTGATACCACAACCCGCCGGAAGAAGTAGGGCAGGCGAGATAGCTCAAAGAGTATGCGCGTGAGGAACGAGAATAAGAGGGAGTAAGAAGGCAGGTCGAAGAGACGCGCGCGATTCCGGGCGATGCCAGCTAGACTGCTCGTACATAGCTATCATCCGTGTGCCCTCCCGAGAGAGAGGCTGCCCACTTGATTGCGCTGTTCTGCAGACGCGAGATAGATAAAGGCAAAGTAAAACCGGCGAACGATTGACTTCACTACTACTTCCATTCAACCAGCCATGTTGAAAACGCGACAAGGTGAAGGGACAGAGTAGCTAGACAGGCAAGTTAGGTTCACGAAGAGGCTAATGGAAAGCGCGGGCAGTGGAAAAATAGGTAGATTTCAGGACGCTGGCATAGGCAGGCTCGGTATGTCCGAGTAGCGGACGTACGACAGAACCGGCACGAAGGAGACACGATGGCCAGACTAAGGGTTAGAAAAGGTGAAAGGCAGAGATAAAGCGAGACAAGGCAAGTTATTGATTCTCCGCCATTAACTCTAAGTAGGCAAGGGCTAGGAAGAGACACCTGGAGCCAGTTTAGCCAATCAAAATAATGCCACAATATTTTTTAATGTTCTAAAACAGCTGTTATAATATAGAAAATAAATAAATAAATAAATAAAAAGTAAAAATAGAAATAAAAAACTTTGTATAACAAAAATATTTTAAATATGTAATAAATACTATAAACTAACAGTTAAATAAGTATTAATAAAAAATGTTAGTAAATACAATATATTGAACAAATTTTTGCAGTAAATAGTTTGTTTCATTTGGCGCATTATACAATGATGGTGGACGTTGTTCCCCGTGCTGCTCACCCTCCCCCTCTAGTGCCGTATAAGCCAGGCGAGATTTGCATAAAAAATGAGAATCTGTTCCATATTCCAAGTAAGTTTTTTATTTAACATACTTAAGTCCTTCATATAATTAAATTGGCTCAGCTGCAGCATGGGTTGCGCCATGGTGATCTTCAGAGATATCATCAATATATTACCAGAAAGCTAAGACGAATGAGGAAATCTTTACATTTTCAACAAGTTGTTTAGCCTTTATTTTATTTCCTTAGGGAACAAAATCAAAAGTTGTTCCAAAAAAGTTGATTCCAGAAATGGTAACGGACTCGCGCTTTATTACTCTCAAAGTTTTTGAAATTGAGCGTTCATGGGCATTTGCAATGAAACTTAACTCTGAAGCCTATACGGAGCCAAGAAAACGGTTTCATATGGCATCTCGATTGACAAAAGCAGCAAGGAGTGCCGATCAGTTGGCGGATTTAACAAGCCATCTAAATTGCGACGCGCAGACTATGCTTGAACTACAAGCATATATTCATTGGATCCATGGAATAAGATATTTTGAAAAAAAAGTTCGTCATACCAATGCATTTCTACTTTATTTTATTCTATTCCTTTAACATTTTATATCCTTTTGAAGGACTGGCCGCATGCCAAATACCGGCTTGAATCAGCACAAGCTATCTACGAGGGTCTTTTGAAGATCATTGAAAAAGACATGAGATCTGTCTACGAGTATCGTGTTTCCGAACTTTTGCCTCGAATTCGTTATTGTGCCCACAACATAGGTGACGCTTCTGCTGCCTCAGATTTAATGAAAATGCGCAGCTCGGATAAAGAACTTGGTATCGAAAAAAACATTAGGACTACTGGAGCAAAGCTTGGCGTCTTAGAGCAACGTGATCTGGATAATTTATTGAGCCAAGTAATGGCTTCGCAGGCGCAAAGCATCACAGAAGTCCAATGGCTCGGACATACTATCCCCGTTAAATTGGAACATGCTCGACTTGCTCTTAATTCATTAAAGGTGCTTTTGTGTGAATTATTTTCTTTACTCAGATGTTTTGCTGCCGTAAATTAATGTTTATATAACTAGCTTTTAATATCATTACAGCTACATGCAAGAGCTTTATAAATTATATTTGCACCTTAGGAAATGGATGCTGAATTGGCGGGTTTGACAGACCCGGTCTCTAGATTGGCTATACATGAGGCAAACTTAAAAGTGTGTGTTGAGGCAATTTCAGCTGTAAGAGATGAGCTTAATGCCTTAACGGCAGCCGAACTCGCCGCAACTGCCGCTGCAACCACAGGAGATATTAGAACGTTAACTAAGCCTAATCGAAGCAGGCTTATGAATTCAAATTCAGATCAGCAGGCAGATTTGAACAAGGTAATTCTATTTCTAGCATATGCTTTATGCAATTTCTAAATTTTTGTTCCTCGTTTGAATGTCAAGCTTATAGATAACGTTTATTACTTTTTAGTTGCCTCGCATTCGCCTTCTATACACTTATTTACAATACTTGAAATTATCCAAAACATTTTCCCGCAATCTTATCCACGTTGAAGTTGCTCTTTCCCCTCGAATGTCTCTTGTTGGTAAAGAATCTATGCAAACAGATGAAATAAATCTAAAAACGGAGTCACTGAACAGCAAGAAGGACTCTTCCGTTCTGATAGCTTCCAGTTCTCATGCTAAACCTCAGGAATTGGCACGCCTGTATGATAGCCTCGTACAAACCTTACAAGAAATAGCAGCTATTCCTGGCGTTTTTCAAGAACACCGAGACATAGATTATCTTCAGACTAAGTTAATGGCCTATCGCTGTTTTCGGTATGTTTACGTGAATTTATGGCTATTTTATTCACTTGTATTTTCGCTTTACAATTTACAAGTTCTTTACGAATAGTTGCTCATCTTAAATTTTAGTGAATGTTTTTAATAATGCTGCGCTAATGAAACTACACGTTTAGTTATTTGTTATATATCGTAACATGATTCTCATTGACAGCTATTTTTCTTGGTGGGACTTGATATCCTGAAGTATATGCGAATAGGTAATGAAGTTATTCTGCTTGATTTTTTAGATTTGTGATTCTCATGGCTGATAATCGTCTTTGTTATCACGTTCAAAATCAGCCTCTTTTCTTGTTGTATATCAAATACTGTGATAACTAACTTTATAGGGTAGATGAAGATATTTTGAGTGCATAACTAGTTAATGAATCAAAAGGTATTACACATACATAAATCTGCTGCTAAATGTTTAATGACTGTTACAATAAAGAGCAATTTTATAATGTTTTGCCTATTAATACCTAAAATTAATATCTATTTCATATACCTGCATATGCGACTCAGCTATATCGATAAATATCAAAGAAGAGTACCATACACATTTAAAATGTCAGATTTGTTGTCTCATTCAAACTCCAAGTTCACCTTTCAGTGTATGTATCGTAGAATTACCATAAGCGTAATTAGTATATTGTATACAGCTCATCGATAAGATGGTTTCGGTCTTGCATCAACCTTTAGTTTTCATTAGTCTAATCAATCACTAGTTAAGCTAGGATAACACTTCACCGAGTTTTCAATGGAGGATGTTAAATTA